GCTGACTGTCAGCGGTTACCAACAGATAGTCTACTTTAGTGAACAGAACCTGCATATGCTGTGAATAACAGGTAATAAAGTTGTAAACAACATTCAGTTTGTGGCACAGAGTGATCGTTTGGGAGCCGCGCGGGAAGTGAACCGCTGATAGCAGTGAAAATGAAACCGATGTAGCTGACTGATCACAGCCCAAAAATTCTACAAATTACCCGGCGAAATGCAAAAATACCCACCCAGTCGTCTGTTTTCAGGAAAATCACGTCAGTGACAGATTTTAAGCAGAAAATGACAGATTGTACGCATATGTCTCAAACACAATAATTCAACATCAGAATCATCATCAGCATTAATGACCAGGACAAATCTAAAGTCTGTTCAAGTCCACCATTCCAAGTCTATACAACATTTAGCATTTTAACCAACAGTACAGCTACACAAAGCCTACTGCTGTTTTACCACAAGTTTGCGAATAATAATAGCCCACTCATATTAACCTTGATTTTACATCTACAGAATCGTGAGAAAATCCTGATCTTTATTTTAGGCAAAAAAAAAAAATCGCGATTCTCATTTTAGCCTGAATCGTGCAGCTCTAATAGCACCTCATAACTTAGAAGAGTAACTACACTTCTCAGTAGAAGAATCAGCGTTTGTGACTGAGCCATTCAAATCAGATCACATTCTCAGACGTTGTGAGATGTAATTCAGATGCTGTCTGGGAAACGCCTCTCCTCGTAAAGCAACAATGCATTTCACAGAAGCGTGTTATAGAAGAACAGCAGCCTCGTGTTCATTATGGCTTGTTTATGATGAGAGAGAACTTTTGAGAGTAATTATTAGAGGATTTTGCTGAGGTAAGGCGTTCGGTTTGTTGACAGGAAGTGCAGCTGAAGTGACGCAATGTAGGGAGAAAAAGGGAGATTCATTGGAAATGGAAGACAGAAAATGAACTGAAAGTAAATGTTGAAGAAAAGGTGAAATATATGTGGAGAGGAGATGATGTTAGTGGTGTTTGCTAAAGCTTAATGAACCTTTTGCTGACTGATGAATGTTTGCACCTGACACCAGGTTATGATCTTTGGTTTTATTTTGGTTTGGTTTGGTTTCTTTGGTTTTCATTCTATAATCAGAGTTTCCACTGGGTCTAAATTTTAAAAATTTAAATTTTAGGCCTTTAAAAAGTCCTAAATTCGCTCTTCTAGGTCCTAAATATTTTTGCAAGGGTCTTATTTTTCTCATGTCCATGTACCACTACATCCAATGCTCATTTAAATAATTTTGTTGTTGTTGTTGTTGCTTGGTTTTCATGGTGTTGTAGTTATTTATTTCACTAGTCCAATTGTAATTTGTATTATTACTTTTTTGACCACACTGTAAATGCGAATAGTATTCCTTACTATCAAAATTCTAGTGTGTTTACTTAATTTTAAGCTAATTGTTGAGTTTACTAGAAATGCATTAGTGTTGCTGACATAGTAAGGTATAAAGTTCCCATAACTAATGTAATTTGAGTAAAATTGCTTATAAGGGCTAAGCCATGCTGTTACGCATGCGTACTGGGTGGTGATTTCCCATCCCCCATCCCTAGTCACAACCAACCGCCACCCAGCACCGCCATTGAAGGACAGGATTTCATATTGGGAAGATGTACTGCTGTAAATCAAGGTAAACTTTTCGTTTTAATTACTACTTTGATTTTATTTGTATAGTATCAGTAATCTGTTTATTTCCTGCACTTTGTGAAATTGTTTGCTGTTTTGTGAACTAATTAATAGCCCATGATGTTGTGACTAAACGTTTTGACCACTGCACGTTATTTGCAGTACTGTCTACTTTACTAGATAAGCTATTTTTAGCTGCTTAGTCCTTTTTAATAACTATTAGTAATTTGTAAAGTGGGCGTTATGCTCTAAAAGAGCGGGCCGCGCCATTTTAAATGATGCACTGAGAGAGCAAGAGCGCGCGCAATGATCCGTTCAAATAGATGTAAAGTTAACACAGCTGTAGGTCTACATTTTTAAAAAAGAAAACGAAACCTATTTATCCGCATTACAAATACAGTAACGTTAGATATCGCTGAACTTTAGTGGCGCTTGTTGTGACGAAAATATGCGTGTTTTTTTTTTTTAAGATTTACTTTTATGAGATCACCTGCAGGAAGCAGGTGAGGAGATCAGCTGTGATTCGGTCCGGCGTCAGCGAGCGGCTCATGACCAGACCAGTCGTTTTTTTCTCCATGATCGCCGGGGCAGCAGCAGTTTTAACCCGCCGAGGCTTTTAGAACATTATAAAGCAGTTTCAGCTTAAAATGGACCAGTGAGTGTCGTAGGTAATTTAGGATTTCGATGCGATTACGATTCGTGTCACTGTATGAGGCAGATACATATTTACACATGATGCTAAAGTGTGCTTATGCTAACAATCCCTATGAAACTTAAAGTTAAACTTATAAAAATGCGAGAGATATTTAATTAACTCAATTATTTGTTTTATATGCTATTTGTCTTTTCTTTATGCCGTTTTGAAGGTTTATTCCAGTGTTGCCGTTACGTTATTGAGTGTTTTGTATTGCTGTAATGACAAATAAATCTGACCAGACGCGACTGAATATGTGTGATGGATAACGTTAATGATGAAGTGGTA